CATCCCTTGCTTGTAAGAGATAAACCATAGTTACAAGAAAAGCAAACTAAATATTGCCAGACCAAAGAATTAGCACCAATGGCCATTAAAGACATCCTCATTGCCAAGTGTTTCCAATCGTAATTCCCAAAAAAAGAATATAGGGTTAGTTACCTCCTCTGCTTTGGATCAATAGTAAGATCTAGTAACAAACCGAAAAAGGTAAGACTTCTGGTGCCTTTGCTATAGCGATAAAATCATGAGGAATGATATGGTATAGACGCAATGTTTACCTTTCCCTGCACGCAGAATGAAGGGAACACCTTGCCAGCGATCATTTGAGATGTAGAGAACCGCACAGGCATAAGTTGGTGTGATGGAATCTAAAAGATTCCATAAGCAGCTATTTAACTTCTCACAGCGAATTATGACAAGAAAATGGCAGCATATTTTAACGTTAACAGGGAAAAAGGGACGAAATAGTGACCTTTAGAGACGGTTGGGTCGTCGAGATAGCCCTGCTTTCCTTCCTCGTCCTCAGCATCAGGGTTGCGAACGTACTGACCAACCACAAGATTGCTCAACTTGAGCGGCCGAATGCAACGCAGAACCTTTACCTAAAAGCAGAAACGCGCTAATTTTTAAGCCTACGTAAAGATCACTTGCAGATGAGAAGGTAATTTTGAATGAACTATGTTGAAGAATGTCAGTTGCTCCTATACACAAAAAGTAACCCAGTTTTCAGGAGTTTAGCTTAACGAAAGCGGGTAGCACTACTGCGTCAGTGTATTCAATGGGTGAATCTTTAATGATCCCCAAGTGGGAAAGAATGATAATTGACGAATTTCTTAACCTTTTCGCCGCGAATGTCTTCAGCACTCAAAGAAAGAGGCTTTTCCATGGCGAGCAGGGCAAGGACTTGGATGAGATGATTCTGAAGTACGTCGCTAGTAAAGGAGAAAGTCAAGTACACAGACTTATCAGATACTAGTATACTGTGGATTAAAGCGTATCAGAAAGGCTGAAGAAAAGCGCTAAGGCAGAGCATGTTAAGAAATCCTATTCAGTGAATTTCAAAGCACTGATATTCCAAGGTAACCTAGTTGTATTAATACCGACATCGAAATCAGACTTTTCATAGTGTCCTTCATAAATGTCAGTCAGTAGTTAGCTATCTTCATGAGATCCTATCCGATTGAAAATGCTACTAATGGTTTAACTAAGAGTGGATTGGCCACCAGAGCTTAAGATAGCTTGAGGCTGTCAATGTCGCCTGTAGCAGATTCAGGGTCCGCTATTTACCGCTAACATGTGTTTTGCTAGATCACAGACGAGGTTACGAGCCGAGATGTCCAATCTCGTCGAGATAAACCCGAATTTACTTTTAGATTATTTTGAAAAGATTCGTCTTTGAGGCTGCGGACTTGCGATTGTTGAGAAATTCAAAGGATAAGGTATGGAGCAAAGAAAGTAGCGCTTTTGTAAGTAGAAAGAGAAGTGGAGAATAAATAAGATGGAGTACAAGCTGCGTCGCAGTATGGAAAGCTTATTTATGAAGGTTAGACAATTTTTTCCATAAAACCAGTTTCATTGTCGGGAAATGACCGTCGCCAAATGTCACTACCAAACGCGCACAATGGACGCAAACCGTCCTTACCTTGAGCGACAGATGGAAGGAATAGACACAAATTTGTAACAAAGCAAAAACCGCGACTCTCGTTCACGATGCAGAATCAGGGTTAAAATGACAGTTTACCGAATGACGCCGAAATCATCGAAATATCCACCGCGACCAGAGGTTCCAAAAGGTTCCTTGAAGGAGATCGTCACATTGCTAATATGCTCACGGTTCCACAAGGGGCTGAATATCATGTTAGCAAATCTAGAATAGTGGTAAAATAAACGACAGTGAAACTGACAAATGAGCGCCTAATCGGTTAAATAACAATCAAATCTGCTTTGAGAACGTTAGCAAGCAGAAAGGTGCTAAACAGTAACAACTTTGTT